AGGGATGTACACATCACGGACTGCAAACATGGGCTAATAACTAACACAGGAATACAGTAATTCTAAATTGCATGTGTCTATTTCTTCAACTGGAACAAATCAGGAGCTGTCAATCGGGAGAGGAAGGTCACTGGTGGCAAACTGAACCAGCTGAGAGGTGACTGCTAGCAAGGCTGGGGACACAGCTCAGTTGCAGAGTGTCTGACCAACAAGCACACAGCCCTGGGTTTGGAAAACAGAAAGATGACTGCGTTCAGCCAGGGGAAGCCACAACAAGCAGATGCAAAGGGGTTCATGTGGCTCAGGGGCAAAGAGCTCCCCATGCTGTGATTCTGAATCATCAAGAAGAGCCTAAACTATGATTCATAATGCTCTATTTATCCTGCCACAGACTCATTCAAAAGGTAACCGTTTCAAATGTAGGCTGTAAAAATAAAAGGTTAATCCACAGCTCCTGAATCCAAATTGATAAATATTCAATTAAATAGCTAGAAAACATCTTGTTGACTTTACTAAGGGCTATATTTGGCATTCATAAAATATGAATGACACATGAAAATAACTGTAGGTTTGATTTTTCTCAGTGTACAAGAATCATTGACCACAGATGACAACTGAAGAAAAAACATGCTCTAAAGATAAACTAAATGAGCTATTCATAGCTAAGTACTTTAGAAAGCAGTATTTAAAAATCTCGGGCCAGGATATAGCTCAGAAGCACAGTGCCTACCGGGCAAGTGCAAGGCTGTGAGTTTAATTCCCAGTACCACCCCCCAAAATCCCTTCAGAAATTTTATAATATAAAGCCTCAGCTGGGTATAGTGGTACCTGCTTTAATGCCAGCACTTTGGGAGACTGAGGCGGAAAGATGCCAAGTTGAAGCCCATGCTGGGCAACTTAAAGACTCAGTGAAGTGCTGTCTCAAAAGGGTGGGGGCTGGATATGTAGTGTGAAAGCCCGAGGTTCAATCCCCAATACTTCAAAGAAAAAAGTTTCTGTAATCATTGCAAGCTATGGGTGAATTTTAACATTTGATATGATAGGAGGTAAATGGACAGTGCTTCTAATACTAAGCCTTAAACTGGCCTGTGACCCTCACCCCCTCCCTCGAACCTTTCCTCTTCTCTCATTTTTGAGACAAAATACCTGACACCCAAAATTAAGGAAGGAAAGGTTTATTTAGCTCATGGAGCTAAATGGAGGTTTGGAGCTAAATGGAGCTAGATGGAGGTTTCAGTAGTCTCCAGAGCACCTTTGGCTTCACACTCACATTTTTTGGTGTTTGTTTTGTTTTTTGTCTTTTTCTTTTTTTCAGTACCGGGGATTGAACTCATGACTGCCTGCTTGCAAGGCAGGCACTTATGCTGCTGAGCTAAATCCCCAGCCCCTACACTCACACTGTCACATGCTGCCCTCTTAGGGACACACTGTCTGGCCTCCCAGGCCTTCTGACCTCACAGCTCTTACATTCTGTATGTATCTAAAACCAGCACCATATGGATGATGCCAAGATCTGCTGCCAGTTGGTGCAACAGCCAGGTTTTCCTCTCTCTTGGCTGTAGGGGTTCAGGGGCTAGATCGCAGAGCACTCTGAATCTAATTCTGAAGAAAAAATTTCTTATGCCACAGCCATGCTGGAACATGGTGCAGCTGCTACCATTCTGGAACATGGTACTCTGCAGCACTCATCTCAACGCGAAGTCTTTTACTTTTGCCATTTTGAGGCTGCAAAGGTTCGAGACGCTGCTTTTTGTGATGCCTTTAGACCATTTTTTTAGTTTCCTATTCCTTCTCAACAATGCAGACTTTCTCAGCTGTCTTTGCCACTCACAGCTTCTTTGGAGCTTCCTTTCTGGCCAAGCTCACAGATGCTTTAAATCATCCTGCTGGGCCTTTTGCTCTTTATTTGCAGTACAAATTTGGCTAAAAACCCCCAACAATAACCATGCCACAGCTTCAACATCTAACTGCCTTGAAATTTCTTCTGCCAGATTAATTAGTCTGCTGCCCTTAATCTTTGTCTCAGGCAAAGTCTCTGGACATGAGCAAAATACAGATAAACTTTCTACCAAGCCATAACATACATCATCTAGAATCTAGCATCCAATGCAGTCCTTCTTCCCAGAAGGAACCTCCAGAGCCTGGTCTTTACTGGTTTTCTGGTCTTCTGAGCTCTGACCAGAATCTTTCATACAGAACAGTCTAAGCTGCTGCAGTCCTGTGCTTTTGGGCATCACCTCCAAACCTTTCCAAACCCTTCCCACAAACTATTCCCAAAAGCTCTTGAGCCACATGGTCAGGTATAACCATAGCAACAGCTCCATTTCCCAAACCAAATTCTGTCTTGGTTACTTTTCTCTCATTGCTGAGACAAAATACCCAATACCCAAGATTAAGGAATGAAAGGTTTACTTAGCTCACTGTTTGTGGAGGTTTCTGTCCATAATCAGCTGGCTCCAAGGCAAGGTAGCATGTTAACAGAGCAACACTTCAAGGCAGCAGCCAGAGCAAAAGGAGGGATGATCAAGCCTCTTTTCCTCCCTTATATTGTATGCAGAACACCCCCCTATCCCCCAGGGCAGATGTAGGGCTCACAAAATCTTTGTGTCCCCTTCTTCCACAGAATGAGGATATTTACAAAGTAAGGATTCTGGCTCCCTGCTGAATTTCTTAAACTTCTAAACTTCTCAAGTTGACACAATGTGTCAACCACAACAATCCCCAGTACTTCAAAAAAAAAGTTCCCTAATTATTGAGAGCTGTGGATGAATTTTAACATTTGATACGATAGTAGTAGACTGACAATGCTTCTAATGCTAAGCCTTAGACTGGCCTGTGACCCTCATCCTCTTCCCTGAACCTTCTCTCTGTACTTTCTGGAACCCAATTCCATGGTAAATCAACTCCTCTTCTGCCTTAACCGAGTTTAGAGTAGTACTCTTACCTACCCTGCTTCAACATTCTAGTCATGGGGGGAGATGGCCCGACCCCCTCCAGAGCATCCCTCCTCCATTCAGGTGTAAACTGATGAACAATCTGATGACTTGCACTTTTGTATTATTATGAATAATTCTGCTATAAATATATGCATTCAGGTTTTTATGTGACCATATGTTTTCATTTCTCCCGGGTATATCACCAGGAGTGGAACTATAGCAGCAGGCGGTAACACAATGTTTTGAACTTTTGGAGATAGACCGTACTGTTCTTTAATATGACTGCATCATTTTATATTCCTATCAGTAATTTGTGAGGGTTCCAATTTCTCCATGTTCTTGCCAGTATCTGTCATTGTCTATCTTGGCTGATTACTTATGTTGGGGCAGGAGGGAAGTGGCATGTCATTAAGGTTTTGATTTTGCATCTCCCTGATGGCAAGAAGATGTTGTGTTCCTTTTTCAGGTGCTTAACTGCACCTGTGTATCTTCTAGGGAGATATCCTTGCCTGTTTTCAAACTGAGTTATCTTTTTATTCTTGAGTGCCTATATTTTACAAATGTATGAGTTTCCAGCACAGTAAAGCAAATAAACCCTTGGTCAATTTTGCATCCCTACTTCAGCCACTTCCTTTAAAATTTCTTTTCTTTTTTTTCCCTTGCAAAATTTGCTGAATGAGTTCCCTAGGCTTGTGGTTTCCACCCAGTTTTTTTCCAAGCTGTTGCAGGCTGGGTCCTGAACCAAAGGCACTTGACTGGAACAGCTCTTGACAAGGCTGCCAGGGGCTGTTTTGCATTCTTAGCTTAATTTTCCTATCATATTTAACTATCACCTTCCTTCTCATTACTGAAAGACTCATGGTCCTTGGCCTAAGTGACAGCTCTAGCTCCTGATTTGTCTCATTCATTTCAGTTTTCTCATCGGGCTCCTCTTTTCCACTCATTCTTAGATCTTGATGTCTTCAAGAGTGTCCTCATCATTGAGCACCAGTGTTGGTTCAATGACCCTTTACTACTGATGACAATGAAATTCCACCCATCCCTGCTGCCTAGACTTCCTCCAGGCTTCCCAGTGTGCACATCTGTCTAATCAACACCACCTCCTGGGATTCTCATGGCCCTCAAACTTCATCCTAAACCAAACGTTCCATCTGTAACCCTGCCTTCCCTTCTTGCGGAATAACATCAATTGCCCACGTCAGTCAGTTTAGACAAACTTCAAGTCCTCTGCATCCCTCTATTTCCTCCCGCCCTCTTGGCCGCGGAAGAGGACCCCAACACCCTCCTCGCTGTTTCCCCGCTGCACGAGCCTCTGCAGCCGCAGCCAGTGATCTCTCCAACCTGCAGATCCTGGCTGATCCCGCCCAGTCATCCTCCCCTCACAGGAGCTAAGGTAAGAAACGGGACTACGGAGTCAGATGCTCGCGGTTCAGTCTTACATGGGGAACTTTACAGTTGCAAGACTGTGCGAGAGCTATTTAACTTCTCGATGCCTTTGTTTTCTCATTTAAAAAAAAAAAAAAGCAGGCCACTTTAGAGCACTATCTCACAGACCTTCCTGTGAACGCGTTGGATCTGTGACAACCCACTGAACCAGGCTCAAAATCTCTCCGTCGAGTCCAATCAATGCACACCGGTTTAGTCAGAAAATGTGCCGAGGCCACGGAACGACTTTTAAAACTCTTTTACGGACTCTCGAGTTCCTGGAGCCTGGTGACCCGCTGCACTTTCACTGGGAGCGGACACTGGGCTGCAGGGCCGGGCCTGGCGCGCCGGTGGGCGCAGGAGGGCGCAGAGGGGCGGGTGCCGGAGTCCGCAGGAGGGCGCCGGCTCCTTCAGCGCCCCGCTCCCGCCCTGACCTGTTACCCGGCGACAGCGGCCGCCGCCAGCCCGACTCGCCGGACCCGCGGCCCGCGGTGCCAGAGTTTGCGGTTCCAGCGGACCCGGCGCCCGGGACGCCTCTGCCCGCCGCCGGTCCCTGCCGCCCCCCGCACCCCGAGCCTGCGGCTCCGAGGGTCCCCCGCCCGGCCCGGTCCTGCCTGGCCCTCCCGGGCGGGCGCTCACCTTGAAGGACATCCTGCACATGTCCGCACCGCCTTCCGCAGAGGGCGCCACGCTTCGCCGCAGAACCAGCCCGGCGCGAGGGGAGGGGAGGGGACGGGAAGAGGAGGGGGGGAGGGGAGCGGACGGGAAGAGGAGGGGGGAGGGGAGGGGCGCGGCGCCCCGCCCCACCCACCGCCACGCGCTCCTCTCGCGCGCACTGCCGGAGGTCGTGGACGCGCTACGCGCTCGGCTCTGCGCGTGCACCGGTGCGCGCCCCCCGCTCCGCGTGCCCTGTGCGCGCGCCCCAGCTCCGCGTGCCCTGTGCTCCCTTTGAGCGCAATCCACGAAGTCCACGTCCAAGCTGTATGGCACAAAACTTTTTCAATGAACCAAGAGAAACTAGTTTTCTACCTGCCTTCCTTTCTCCTTTCTCCAATCAGTTTGTCTTTTCTTTTGAAGAGTTGCTTCCTAGTTCACAATATCTATTGTACATTTGGACTCCATTTACTCGTTCAGTTTCCCACATTAGTGATACCAATAATATGATGCTTAAACACTGCGTCTGATTTATTTCACTTCTGAATATGGTCTCCAGTTGCATCTATTTACCTATAAACATCTGCATTTATCCTTGTTTATGGCTGAGTAGTACCACATGGCATAAAAATACTCATCTTTTTATGCATTTCTTGGTTAATGGGCATTTGGGTTGTTTCCAGATCTAGCCGTTACAAATTTTGCTGCTATAACCATGGGTGCACATGTATCACTATGATATGAGGTTTTTAATTCTTTTGGGAAGATACATAGAAGAGGATAGGTGTGTCAAATGGGACCTCTAATCCTAGTTTTTTCAGGAATCTTCACACTGGTTTCCACAGAGATTGTGCCAGAGATTTTACCACCGACAGTGGAGAAGGGTTCCTGTTTTCTCACAGCCTTGCCAGCATTTGTTTTCAGTTGATTTTTTCGATGATAGCAATTCTTTCTGGAGTGAGGTGATTTGCATCTCTCGAATAACTAATGATGTTGAACATTTCTTCATGTATTTTTTGCCATTTGCATGTCTTATCTGAGAAGTACGTATTCATCTCACATGCCCATTTTTGGATTGGGTCTTCCAATTTGGAGGGGTCAGACTTTTTTCAATTTCTTATATGTTCTAGATAAAAGTCCTTTGTCTGACGGACAACTGGCTATAATTTTTATTCTCTCTGTGGGTTGTCTTTTTACCCTGTTGATTTCTTTTGTTGAGCAAAAACTTTTTAATGAGGTTGAGATCCCATTTGTTGATTCTGTATAATATTTTCCTCACTGTCTGGATTTTGTTCAGAACATCTCTGCCTACATATGTGTCTTCAAATTTTCTATCTGTTTTCTCTTGCAGTAAATTTAGTGTTTCTGTTTTACTATTTAGATCTTTGATCTATTTTGACTTTAGTTTAGTGCCTGGCAGATAGACATGGGTCAGTTTTAGTCTTTGACATGTGGAAAGCCAGTTTTCACAGCATCGTTTATTAAAGAGACTTTCTTCCAGTGAACATGTTTGGCTCCTTTGTCAAGGAAAAGGTGTTTGGGGTTGCATCTGAATCTTTTATTCTGTTCCACTGATCCTCAGGCCTGCTTTTGCCCCCAGTACCATGCTGATTTTATCACAGTAGCTTTGTAGTATAATTAAATAGCTTTTATTATAATATTTGTGTTTTTATTTTTCACTTTTTAAGAGCTTCTAAGAATTTTTCTAAGACTCTCCCACTCTCCCCAGTGATCTGAGACACAAACCTTTTGTGTAGAAGTTTGGACTGGGCTGTAGCTCAGTGGTAGAGTGTTTTCCTAGCATGCACAAGGCACTGGACCAATCCCCAGCATCATACCACTCCCCCACCCATACTGCTTCCTTCCTGGGGTTGGTTTGGGGGAGTAGTAATGGGAAAACCATATTTTTATTTAAAAATATTCTTTTAAAGTATACAATGAAAAACATCCTTCTTCTTTTTTATTTAAAGAGAAAAAAGACAAAAAACAAAGCAGTAAAAGGGTATAAGTAGTACAGAATTTCAAGAAAAAAATAAACATTAAGAAATCACTAGTTAATAGATTACATATTGTCATCTTAGAAACAGTTGTCCAAATTACAAAATTAAAGATACAAAGTGGACATTCATACAGTGAGATTGCATACAGTTCTGTTCAATGATCCAACAAAAACTCAGTAATATGGTTTTCTCTCCTACACACTTAAATATACATGCTGTTATACCCTTTAGGCCACTTTCTTTTCCTCTCTTTTTTACAATAACACTTACACTTTTTGGGTTTTATTACTCCCATAGTTCTTATTACTTTTTTTTGAAGAGAAAAAAACCAAATGTGACAAAACAAAACAGAGTCAGTTAGAACAGAAGGATGGACATAGTATATGATGCAAAATATAGAATACCAGATGATCAAAAATGATTACCATTATGCCTCTTGCTATCTTGAAAAAAGTTGCCTATATCATCAGGTATAATAGAATTGAACAAAACAGTACAGAACAAGACCAATAAAACCTACACTGGAGACCTTACAGGATTTCAAAAGAAGATAATAGTCAAACCATAATGGGCATCATAGTAAATTTTATTGCCTTCAAAGTGGTTGCCTATACCCTCAAACTTGATACTATCAAACAAAACAGAGTATAGTAAAATCAGACAGAAGAAGATGGGGAGAGCAATACTGGGGATCAAATCAGGTTAATAGGAAAACAAAAAAGTTACTGTAATATATCCTGCTATTTTAAAATTTAGTTTTCCCTTAATTAAAAAATAAGAAAAAATAAATTAATTTTAAAAAGTGGGAGATTGAGATAAAAGAGGACATAGTAACAGAACAACACAGGTCAAAACCGAACAATTTAAGCATCATTGTGTTTCACTACCAGAAAACCTGACATAATAGTAGTCACCATAGTGTCTCTTTCCTTGAATTATTTGAGTATAACTTCGTTTACTATAGCATCAAATATATTAAAACAGTGTGAAGCCATTCAAGAGAATGTAAGAATTACAGGGTATTTAGAACCAGCTAACAGAAAATGAACAAGAGTTTCTATATTATCTCTTTGCCTATAAAAATTTTGTTTATACTATCACATATAGTAAAATATAATAAGATACAATATGTTAAAACCCATGGAAACCGACAAACAACAGCTTGATGGAACTTCAAGACAAGATGATATTAAATCAACACTAACTATTATGATGTCTTGTTTTCTTCAAAATTGCTATTCGTACTATCACAGACAATAAAATCGAACAACCCAGATTAAAACCATTCCAATTAATGAGTGAAAACATTATATGGCTTCAAACCAATATGATTGGGAATCATGATTACCACATACTTTTATGTATTCTTATCATTTCTTACACCAGGGAAACTATTCGGCATTTATACTTGTGAGTTTGATTTATCTCATTTATGGCTATGGTCTCAAGCTGCATCCATTTATTTATAAATATCTCAATGTGATCATTCTTTATAGCTGACTAGTACTCCATTGTATAAAAATACCACAACTTTTTTTATCCATTCCTCAGTTGATGGACACTTAGGTTGTTTCCAAGATCTGGCGATTACAAATTGTGCTGCTATAAACATGGGTACACATATATCACTGTGGTATGATGCTTTCAGTTCTTGTGGGAATATGCCTAGAAGTGGAATAGCTGGGTCAAATGGGGCTTCCAGTCCCAGCTTTCTGAAAAATCTCCAGACTGACCTCCATAATGGTTGCATCAGTCTACACTCCCACCAGCAGTGCAGGAGAGTTCCTTTTTCCCTGCAGCCTCTCCAGCATTTGTTGTTGGTGGTTTTCTTGATCTTGGCCATTGTTTCAGGAGTGAGATGAAATCTCAGTGTGGTTTTAATTTGCATTTCTCTAATGACTAATGATGATGAACATTTTTTCATGTACTTATTTACCATTTGTATTTCTTCATCTGAGAATTGTGTATTCATCTCAGATGCCCGTTTTTGGATTGGATCTTTGAATTTTGGGGGTCTGATTTTCTTTTAATTCTTTATATGTTTTAGACAGAAGTCCTTTGTCTGAGGGGCAGTTCACTAAGATTTTTTCTCAGTTTGTGGGTTTTCTTTTCATTATGTTTGGAGATTTCTTTTGACGTGCAGAAACTTTTTAATAAGAGGTGATCCCAGTTATTGATTCTGGGAAGTATTTCCCGTGAGGTTTGAGTCTTGTTCATGAATTCTTTACCTACACCTATGTCTTCAAGGTTTTTACCCAATTTGTCTTCCAATAGATTTAGTGTTTCTGTTTTAATATTTAGAATTTTGATCCATTTAGATTTTATTTTAGTACATGGTGTTAGGCATGGGTCTAGTTTTAGTTTACGGCATATGGAAAGCCAGTTTTTCCAACACCATTTATTAAAGAGACTGTCGTTCTTCCAGTGAACATGTTTGGCTCCTTTATCAAAGACAAGGTGGTTGAGTGTGTTTGTAGTTGTGGTTGTATCTTCTAATCTATTCCACTGATCTTCGGCTCTCTTTTGGTTCCATGTTGATTTTACCACAGTTGCTTTGTAGTATAACTTCAAGTCAGGGATTGTGATGCTCCTGCCTTGCCTTTGAAAGAAATCCTTTTAACGAAATTCAAATGCTTAGATTAAAAAGTGGCTTTCTCATCCTATACACTACAGGAATCCAATTAGTTGTTCTCTCCCTCCCTCTCCTCAATTGAATTTGCAGCGACTACTTAATTGAAAAGTTTAAAAATGCAACTATGAATCATGGTTAATAATGAAAGTGTGAATGTTTACCATTTGCGGATAAAAATGCATCACTTTGTGTTTTAAATAATTTAATAAATAGTTTAAATAATTTAAAAATAGCACTCCGAATTCTGTCTATAGATAGTTGTCTATAGGTGAGACAGTTTTCAAATTGTGTCACGTTATCATACACAATCAAACTTCAGAGGTTTTGCTTTAATTGTTTTGCGAAACAAAAGGGGAAAAGAAAAGGACTGACATTTTGAGGACTATCTAGGTACTGGTGCTTTCTTTATGAAAATTGTGTTAGTTAAGTATTGCAATCATTCCACAGAAGAAAAGACCAACGTTCTGAGTGATGGAGTAATTTGCTAAAGATTGACAAG